GGGTAGAAAGACGGGGAACCCCAGACAGAGGACCAGGTAGGGACCCTTCGGGACAGAACTCAAAGGAATAGAGGAGGGGGGCAGTGGGCGTATTAGGGTCCAAGGCCTGGAAACGGTTGTGAGTCTGAGGAAGGTGGAAGGACGAGGAGAGGAAGAGCTCAACATGCGATCATAAGAGACGTTAGCATAAGGCGGGAGCCGGCGAACCTGGCGCCTCACCTCAGGAAAAGACAAACGCTCCTGGTGCTTCAAGTTGAGGACGGCTGCCTTAAGCTTGTAATGGATACACGCACGTAAGAAGGTAGGATGGGGCCTCACCGCAGTTGAGGCAGCAAGCCTGGGGAGAAGTGCTCTCCGACTTAGAGTGACCATCGCCCCCACACAACGGACAGAGAGAGACATTCCTAGAGCAGCGGAGGGCACCATGCCCAAACCTCCAGCACTTGTTACAGAGCCTAGAAGAAGGAATATACTCCTGGACAGAGAACCTGGCACCAGCAAGAAGGACAGAGGGTAGAAGGGTCCTACCATCAGAGGTAATCTTCACAACCCAAAGAGGTTGACGGCGACAACCACGAGGGGGACGAGTAAACGTGTCTACCTGGAGGACAGAATGACCTTGGGCATCAAGTATATGCCGAATATCACCGTGACAGTCCTGCAGATTCCGAACACCAGTCACAACATGGGGCGGGAGGAGAATAGAGCCAACACTGGCATTCATCCGAGCGTTCTTTTAGACCTTAACAGGGGTCTCGCCAAGGCAGGATAAGGCAGCCAAGCGGGAAGCTGCATCCTGAAAAGGAGCAGCAACAACACGTGTACCGAGACGAGTGGGGTTGAAGGTAACAGAGGCATCCATGGAATCAACGAGATGCCGATTGAGGGAGAAATCGTCAGGAGGTGCAGAATCAAGAGAGAGGAGATCAAAGTATTTTGCCCATGAAGCGGAGGAGGGAGGGGAGCCGAGGGAAGAAGTCAGGAGGGTCAAAGGAGGAGCAAGGTCAGGGCCCAACGCAGCGGGGGCTACAGAGCCCGGTTTTCCATTACAGGCCGACTCGGGGGCTTGGTCGCCCACCCCACGAGCCAGAGAGGGTACAAGAGAAACATTCAATGACATAAATATGAAGAGTGACAAATTCATCCACGAATGTGCCCCACACCCACCATGGAGCCACAATTAGAGGCAGGACACCCAACAAGAAGCTATCGCCTATCTTGTCGGGGCCTCCTAGGGGTGCGTCGTGAGTATACGCCCCACAAACGCCACCTTAAGAAACCGACAGTCCGTCGAGATCGGGTTCAGCGACGAAAGGGGGATTGACAATAAAAGGTTCCCCTCACTCGAGACGTTGGGTACTACAGTTCTATGGGTGCAAGAGTACGCCTCCTCAAGCACCCGGGCGTCAAAATAGAAGAAGTTCAAAGGAATAACCAAAACAAGCAAAAGGTCGGCAGGAAACGACAAGCAGATAGGATAAGAGGAGGAAGAAAAACGAAACAGATGGAAAAGGACAAGTCGTTCAGCACAATTAGAGAGGACAGCAGCAGGAGCACAAGGCTACAGGACAGAGGACTGTCCCAAGAAGCATCACACTCCAGCAGCCGCCCACCAAGCCCCCCTCACGACAACAACGAGCTGAACAGGGAGGGGGGTTTTATCAGGTAGTTCTTAGTTTGTCTTGCAAGCTGGTTGAGTGAAGGACAGTCCTTGATGTATTAGGGAGGTCATTCCACATTTTGGTAATCTTGATTTGCAAATAAATTTTCCTTTGGTTAAGTGGCACTCATGGATGGCCACCCATGGGTGCCTGATTATATCCTTTATCCAAGCTCATAATTATTATGTGCACCTTATAGTCTTTCCGCCATATATAATCGAGTAGTATTCAGTCCATCTGTCTCAACAGCTGCCTCTCTCACTATATGTCTGTCTGCATCTGTCTATCTTTTAGACAACGCTAAAACCCACCTTGATCATAAATGACTGTATTTTGGGTCTGCTCGTAGTCTTGTATTTTGAGTAGTCTTTAATTCATTTTCAATCATTATTTTCCTTACATTTTCCCGTTTTCTTCCTTTACACTTTTAATTTTAATATGATTACAGGAATATTTAAGAATAATTTGGGGAAAGTCCAAACCTATAATCAATAGGTTATGCTTCCAGGCACAACTTCCTCACCCACCGCATTACCTTCTCTCTGCTGACTTAATCATATTTGCATAAATGGTATCCATGGCCCCAGGTCTCTCGTATTTCAGTTCCTGAACTAATTGGCTTGTCTCTTCCACGGAAACAATTGTGGCATTATATCTTGCACTCTTCCCACGCTGGGGAAACCAATCTGGTTCACAGTCTGCGCCTCTGGCATCGAATCCCTTCATCAGAGTTTCAAAGAGTGCATTCACCCTGCTTCAGATTTGTTAATTAGTAAGCATTCTCCTATATTATTATTTGTTTTCTTATTGGCTCTTTCTCCAATATTATATATATATTATATTATATTATATTATATTATATTATATTATATATATATATATATATATATATATATATATATATTATATATATATATATATATATTAGTATATTTTGGTAGCAGTCTTTCTTGTAGACATATGTTGTTGAATATGACCGAAAGGGTAAATTAATGATTATTACACAAATCTTCTCAATATTTCTTACATTTTCTTTACTGTCGAGGGAAGTGGAAAAAGTAACTCTCCAAATTAATTTTCACACTTTATTGTGGCCTGACGCCTAGGGATGCGTTTCACAAGGTACTCCTCACATTTTCAAAGACAAATTTACAAGAGTTTTCTAGTTCTGGTTCAGTTGGTCAAGAGTTTTTCTAGTTCTTCCTCACATGAAAAGAAGAGCACGATATCATCACCTTCCTGACCACTGTCAGTGGGTGTGAGGCCGACCACGTCCTTCAGGACCTTCAGAATATCACTTTTCCCGAAAGCTTCACCGTCAAGGGGGGGGGGGGGGTAGCTGTAACGTTTGACGTTTGAGACGTTTGGGTCGCACAGAGTCCACACCTTCACGGATCGCAGTGTGTGTAGTGACCTGTGAACCACGAGGGCAGGTGATGGGTAATGTGAACAAACTAGTTATGATGTATATTCATAATTCATATTTATGATATACACTTACCATGCTCTTGTTGTTGTTTTATATTTAGCTACTCAGAACGAAGTGTCCATGTAGCACGGGCTATGGTGAGCCCGTAATTGAGTTCGGTTATTCGCGATAACATTTTGTGATATTTGTGATAGATGTGATATTTGGGTCTAAGTTTAAAATGGAGGAGGGGATGCCTCCGTTATCCCGGTTTATTTTTCGCTTCTGTTTTATTGCACTGATTTTGGTCTTGTTAACATTATCTTGGTGGCGGATGTAGATGCAGAATGCTCACTAATGAGTCCAATTCCTCAACGGCTTTTCTAATCATTGTAGTCGCGGTGGAATGTGCATCTAATTCAGCTGCTGTGCTGTCGTTGGATTAATGATGAGTTTGATGCGCAGAGGTTCAGTAGCTTCACATTCCAGTAAGTAGTGCAATAGTGGCGCCTCTGCTTCAGTTTCACAGATATGACACTCTTTAACTATTGGGTTCATTACCTCCCAGCAGCACTTGTAACCAAGTCTGAGATATTTGAATTTGAATTATTATTAATATATTATACTAAGAACAAAAATTATTGACTTTGTTATATTATTTTAGGCTAGGTTAAGATAGGTTAGGTAAGGTAGAGTAGGTTAGGTTCGGTCATATATCAACATTAGTTTTAACTCAAATTAAACGAAATGAACTCGTACATAATGAAATGGATAGCTTTATCATTTCATAAGAAAAACATTTGAAAAAAAATATAAATTCAGGAAAACTTGGCTTATTAGGCAAATCGGACCTTGCATAGTAGGCTGAGTACTGCGTTCTGGCTAATAGGTACAACATATGTATATATATATATATATATATATATATATATATATATATATATATATATATATATATATATATATATATATATATATATATATATATATATATATATATATATATATATATGTCGTACGTAGTAGCTAGAACTCACTTCTATGCCTACTATGCAAGGCCCGATTTGCCTAATAAGCCAAGTTTTCATGAATTAATTGTTTTTCGTCTACCTAACCTACCTAACCTAACCTAACTTTTTCGGCTACCTAACCTAACCTAACCTATAAAGATAGGTTAGGTTAGGTTAGGTAGGGTTGGTTAGGTTCGGTCATATATCTACGTTAATTTTAACTCCAATAAAAAAAATTGACCTCATTCGTAATGAAATGGGTAGCTTTATCATTTCATAAGAAAAAATTAGAGAAAATATATTAATTCATGAAAACTTGGCTTATTAGGCAAATCGGGCCTTGCATAGTAGGCTGAGAAGTGCGTTCTGGCTATTAGGTACGACATATATATATATATATATATATATATATATATATATATATATATATATATATATATATATATATATATATATGGAAATTTATTGTACACGATTACAAAATGTGGCCTTAACTCATACAAAACACAACCAATACAAGTAAAATGAAAAAAAACAGGCCAGTAGGAAACAATAATAAAAGTCACGGTTGTGGTTTCATTTCGTTGACTGCTGTACATGAAGATAAAAATGCTGGACGTACTACCTCAGTTGCCTTTCGTATGCCTATTCCCCCAAATCTCACTGGTAGTGTTGCTTGGTCCCACTGACCAAGCAACACGAAATCTAGGTTGAGGGCCTTCCTGAAAATTGACTTTAGGAGCTCATCACATTGACTTAGTAGTGGGCTGCCAAAAAGTTGGTGCACACCTTAAAAAGTACGTTAGCCTGAGTAAGGTAAGGCACTTTGTGAGAAGGTAGAAGGGCATCATGGGAGCCCAAGTTCCCTATTCTTTCTTCCATCCTCTTCAGGTCATTAAACTTTCGTCAAGGACTGCAGCAATGGCATTATGGCAAGGAGGTGCTACAAGTAGTGTGCTGTCGGTGGGTTCAATGAGTGAGGCTTCTGATAAAATTTATTTCACTGCATTAATGACTACCTCATTGAATGAAATTATTTTGCACTTGGAGAGGTTAAGAAGACAGGAGACCCAGGGTCTCCCTCTGTGTCTTCACCAGCTGCAGGTCTTCCAGCAGGGAGTCTTGTGTGCCTGCCAGAGTGCCATAATCCAGGAACAAAATGTTGAACTCACTGGACAGTCTGCTTGTGATCTCTGCTGAGGTGAATTTGTGTTTGCCAAACAGGAGCGTTGAGTCTATTCTGTAACCTGCTGACACAAACGAGAGAATGTTTGTGCAATGTTCCTGGACTGCGGTGAGGACTACTTCCCTTTTGACCGAGTTGAAAGCGTTTTTGAAATCTAATTTTACTACTGCCTGGTCTTCGGTAAGAGAGCTAATGTAGGCTTGTACAGCATGGGCCGCTGCTTCACAGCCTTGGGGGACTGCAAACCCCCAGCTGGTTGGGTTGCAGCATGGTGGCTGTTTCCATTCGGATACTTCTGACAGCAGCCCTTGCAATTAGGCGGCGAAGGGTATTACCACCAGCAATGGGTCTGATCCCTCCAGCCTTCTTTTTCAGGGCACATAGGGATGCACCAAAGAAGAATGGTATGATATCATCAGGGATTAACCCGGCGAGGCAGTTGTTGACAAACGTTGTGATTTCTGTCAGGAGCGCTTCTGCAGCTGGGCCAAGAACAGGGTTCACCATTTCCTTCACATGTTGAGGTCTTACCCCTGTGTAGCCTCCTGAAGAGCCCGGGGGAAATGAAACGATAACTTTATAAACCTCTGACTCCCGGAGGGCGAGAGGTTCCTGGTTAGGGGAACACCTAACCTGCGGGGTAGGTCCCGCTACAGCCTTGAGGGAGTGTTTTTCTCTCAGTGCTTGGGCTGTGGTTTCATCCCTGGGCAAAATTTTTTCCTCACTTGTGATCAACCTGAGTGCCCCCGACTGTATTGCCCTCTTCAATTTTCTTGCTGACTTGGGTACCTAATTTACTGTTGTAGCTGAGGGTCTTACTTGGTCTGCTGCGACGGTGTTTAGTGTGTTTGGGGAGGCGGATTAAGTTGTCAGCCCTATAAAAATCCATAATTGTTTATTGATGGATGAGGCTAATGTCTTGCCTCCTCTGTCTGGTACACCTAAGCATGCGTTGCCAAAAAGTAACAGATTGTGCCAGGCTTTGATGGTATCTGGTTCATCAAGGGTGTTTGACCTTCTGTTGACTTTTCCGATGAGGTCTGTGTATTTCCCGGCAGCAAATGGGCGAGAGGCCTTTGGGGACGTGGGTGAGTGTCCTGGATGACGTTGCTTTAATTGCCTCTAGCAGGTCGTCTGTTGCAATGTAATCTGTTGCGATTTGCACTGGTGCATCAGGCTCCCGAGTGCTGCCTCCTCCCATGGGAGGCCTCCCTGACCCAGCACAGTCACCATGCTGGCGTAAGACTCTGGAGACCAGGTTGATGCTGATGTTGCTCCCACAATCTCTGTATGTGCCTCTCTTTTGGCTGGTTTCGGTAGGGGGTGAGTTGACTGGCAGTGGGCTCTTCCGTCATCTCCCTCCTGGCTGGGGAAACCTGGTAGTCCCCTATACCATGCGGCATGTCTAGGCAGATGTCTGGGGTGGGTGGGCGCGTGAAGTTGGTGGGTGGCAGGTGGAGCTGCATGGAAGGCTGCGCTGGCCCGGGCAGGAAGGGGAAGGCGTGACCGCCTGATCATAGGAGGTGGGACATGGGGGAGATGCCTTTGGGATGTGGGTACATAACATGCAAATAATTCCCAGATGAAATACTGACCAGAAATCCTTTCCCCAATAATTGGAAAAATCGAGTATGTTTGAGTGTATGTGTATATAGATGTGAATATGTATATAGATTTGTATATGTATATAAATATACATGTATATATGTGTATATAAGTATACATGTATGTGTATTTATGAATAAATCAATATATAATAATAATAAAATAAATAGCCTTGAACAAAACAACATGTGTGGAAGCATCGGAGTGTGTACATATGAATGCTGCACAGTATTCATTTACAGACATCCATACATGCTGAAACACATGTGAAGAACCTCTCTCACACGCTTGTGAAAGGTATTATACTGTCAGGTCAGGCGCCCGTCGAAAGGCGCCTGACAGCTGAGTGGACAGCGTTTCAGATTCGTAGTCCTGAGCTTCCGGGTTCGATCCCCGGTGGAGGCGAAGACAAATGGGCAAAATGTTTCTCTCACCCTGATGCCCCTGATGCCCCTGTTACCTAGCAGTAAATAGGTACCTGGGAGTTAGACAGCTGCTACGGGCTGCTTCCTGGGGGGGGGGGAGGAGTGTAACAAAAAGGAGGTTTGGTCGAGGACCGGGCCGCGGGGACACAAAGCCCCGAAATCATCTCAAAATAACCACACTCGCAGCTACCTGACAAGAGAGAGCAAGCTTAGCCGCCAACACCCACACATCGTGTCAGCAAGGCGGACAGCCCGCCTGCTTTCATACCTCTCACTGTATTTCCCACTTCTAAAACTTCCCTTCACCTATGTCTCTCCTTCCTCTGTACTCCCCCCCCCCCCCCCCCAAAAAAAAGGGGGAGGTGGGGATTTTGGGGTAGCACTCAACCCATGGATAATATCCTTTTACATCACTACACACTGGTCAATGTGTTCTGGGTCGCTGGGTGTGGTACACTCACCACGATACTCCCCGTGTTCACCACCGGGCCGGACTCAACTTATCTTTTTCAAACACTCATTCACACACTGGTGCCCCCCCTCCCTCCCTCTCTTGACCACACCACATATATCCGCCCACCCTTTTCTGGTGGGGGAGCCCCAGGGCGTGTGAAGCTGTGGGCGTGGGGTGCGTGTGGGCGTGGGGTGACGGTGGGCGTGGGGTGACGCCGCCCGCCACTACTCTCTCTCTCTCTATCATTTTAAAGGCAGAAAAGATAATTATTCCTAATAATTGCAATAATTAATAATTCAAATTACCGTTTTAAAATCCTTTGCTCCTAAACGTTATATCATAACATTTAAATCACGTTTTATTAAAACGTTAAGACCTCATGTTTTATATTCGTCTTTACAAATTCTCAAAACACGTATATTAAACGTAATTTAAAACGAGCCCAAAACAATGAAATGGTCTTTTATAGCACGTTTAGATAACGCGAAAATGTTTGGGAGGGACCAACCACTCAAGAACCACACGTCAGGACCACCACTCAAGAACCACACGTCAAGACCCACCACTCAAGAACCACACGTCAAGACCCACCACTCAAGAACCACACGTCAAGACCCCCACTCAAGAACCACACGTCAAGACCACCACTGAAGAACCACACGTCAGGACCACCACTCAAGAACCAAACGTCAGGACCCACCACTCAAGAACCACACGTCAAGACCCACCACTGAAGAACCACACGTCAAGACCCACCACTCAAGAACCACACGTCAAGACCACCACTGAAGAACCACACGTCAGGACCACCACTCAAGAACCACACGTCAGGACCACCACTCAAGAACCACACGTCAGGACCACCACTCAAGAACCACACGTCAAGACCACCACTCAAGAACCACACGTCAGGACCCACCACTCAAGAACCACACGTCAAGACCCACCACTCAAGAACCACACGTCAGGACCCACCACTCAAGAACCACACGTCAGGACCAACCACTCAAGAACCACACGTCAGGACCACCACTCAAGAACCACACGTCAGGACCACCACTCAAGAACCACACGTCAAGACCCACCACTCAAGAACCACACGTCAAGACCCACCACTCAAGAACCACACGTCAAGACCCACCACTCAAGAACCACACGTCAAGACCACCACTGAAGAACCACACGTCAGGACCACCACTCAAGAACCAAACGTCAGGACCCACCACTCAAGAACCACACGTCAAGACCCACCACTGAAGAACCACACGTCAAGACCCACCACTCAAGAACCACACGTCAAGACCACCACTGAAGAACCACACGTCAGGACCACCACTCAAGAACCACACGTCAGGACCACCACTCAAGAACCACACGTCAGGACCACCACTCAAGAACCACACGTCAAGACCACCACTCAAGAACCACACGTCAAGACCCACCACTCAAGAACCACACGTCAGGACCCACCACTCAAGAACCACACGTCAGGACCCACCACTCAAGAACCACACGTCAGGACCAACCACTCAAGAACCACACGTCAGGACCACCACTCAAGAACCACACGTCAGGACCACCACTCAAGAACCACACGTCAAGACCCACCACTCAAGAACCACACGTCAAGACCCACCACTCAAGAACCACACGTCAAGACCACCACTCAAGAACCACTCATCAAGACCACCACTGAAGAACCACACGTCAGGACCACCACTCAAGAACCACACGTCAGGACCACCACTCAAGAACCACACGTCAGGACCACCACTCAAGAACCACACGTCAAGACCACCACTCAAGAACCACACGTCAAGACCACCACTCAAGAACCACACGTCAGGACCCACCACTCAAGAACCACACGTCAGGACCCACCACTCAAGAACCACACGTCAGGACCCACCACTCAAGAACCACACGTCAGGACCCACCACTCAAGAACCACACGTCAATACCAACCACTCAAGAACCACACGTCAGGACCATCACTCAAGAACCACACGTCAAGACCCACCACTCAAGAACCACAAGTCAAGACCCACCACTCAAGAACCACACGTCAAGACCACCACTGAAGAACCACACGTCAGGACCACCACTCAAGAACCACACGTCAGGACCACCACTCAAGAACCACACGTCAGGACCACCACTCAAGAACCACACGTCAAGACCACCACTCAAGAACCACACGTCAAGACCACTACTCAAGAACCACACGTCAGGACCACCACCCAAGAACCACACGTCAAGCAACCTGTCCTCTTAAAAAGAACGTCGCTTTTGGCCGTTTGCCCGTATGGCCGAATTTGGACGTAATTTGAAATTGAAAAAAATATGAAAATAAATTTGGGATTTTTTTTTTCAACAACAGTAAGTTAAGGGTCCTCTGATAGGTTAGGTGGGCAGGAAATTCTCATAAAGTTTCAAAACGTTATGAAAAACGTTAATTTAAAGTGTCCTCTTATAACCTCTGCGCGTACGCCGGACGGCTCAAATAGAAAACGGAACAGAACGTCACTTTTGTGAGTGGATTTCATTTCAAATTACGTCCAAATTTAGCCATATCGCGCATACCAGCCAAAAGTGACGTTCTTTTTAAGAGGACGGGTTGCGTCAAGACCACCACTCAAGAACCACACGTCAAGACCACCACTCAAGAACCACACGTCAGGACCACCACTCAAGAACCACACGTCAAGACCACCACTCAAGAACCACACGTCAGGACCACCACTAAAGAACCACACGTCAGGACCACCACTCAAGAACCACACGTCAGGACCCACCACTCAAGAACCACACGTCAGGACCACCACTCAAGAACCAAACGTCAATACCAACACTCAAGAACCACACGTCAAGACCCACCACTCAAGAACCACACGTCAGGACCACAACTCAAGAACCACACGTCAAGACCACCACTCAAGAACCACACGTCAGGACCACCACTCAAGAACCACACATCAAGACCACCACTCAAGAACCACACGTCAGGACCCACTACTCAAGAACCACACGTCAGGACCACCACTCAAGAACCACACGTCAAGGACAACCACTCAAGAACCACACGTCAAGACCCATCACTCAAGAACCACACGTCAAGACCCACCACTCAAGAACCACACGTCAAGACCCACCACTCAAGAACCACACGTCAAGACCACCACTCAAGAACCACACGTCAAGGATAACCACTCAAGAACCACACGTCAATACCCACCACTCAAGAACCACACGTCAAGAACATCCACTCAAGAACCGACTCGTTTCCATATGTTGCGTTAAGGAAATGTCTTGTTCAACATCGTGTTTCTCTTCCCCAATATTGTCTTTTTTTATAGACGCACTCTGAGTACACTCGGCCACTTAAGAGTGCATTCTAAATGTGGTCAAATGTTTCGTCACGATTTAATAAGGAACCACTAACGAAACCTGTACATCTTCCTTCAAACATAGAGCTTTGTTTACGTTTATTAAGCAGTTTATGAGCTTCAAAACACTTACGAGATTGTTTATAAGAATAACTTCTGTTGCGGAGTTTCCAAGCCCGTAAATTATTTACAAAAATAATTGAGGTAAGAAGTGCAGGTTTTGTGATTTATTGATAAATTCAGTGTCAGGATGAGCCGCAACGTTGCCACGTTCTATATATATGTGTGTGAGTTGATTGTTCACTGATTGTACTGTTACAGACGTGTTGTGTGTTGTGGAGAGTGCCAGGTGGTTGGTGAGGCTTAGCACTCTGTGCTCTCGTCACAAGGTGTCTTCCTTCACCTGACTTAGTCCACCAGCTCTTATTTAGAATTTCCTTCGAAGGAAAGACTGTTATTGTTCCAATTTAAGTTTTCGCTTAAGTAAATTTCCAGAATGGGTTTTGTTTGTTATTAAGTTGCGTTCCCAAGAGTCCTTCAGACAATTCTTTGTTACCATTATAAGTTTTATCTCCATTTTCTTCCAGTCTAACTTTCGTCTGCAGTAGCTTTCCCGATAAGTGTTTTTGTGTGTGTTTTTGTTCCAGACGAAGTTGCCACGTGTGGCAGGAGTTGCCAGACCTACGACCTCCAGACTTATGAGTTAGGGTTCGCTGGCGGCCGCAAAACTTTCTCAGAGTCGAGTTCTTTGACTTTTGAACTGGAAATACGGAGCGGGTTAGCTCTTAGAGCTTGTGACAATTCTTACTGATGGAAGGGTCACTTCCCCTCCCCCCCCCCCCCCTCCCTCTCTCTCTCTCTCTCTCTCTCTCTCTCCCGCCACTGCTGAACCTTCTCTAACACCACAGCTACTGTTGTTATTGCAGTCAACAGAGCGGCCTCCACTTCCCTTCTTTACTCAGGCACCTCATATATGGCTCCTAATACCATCCCCACTTTCCCAGTCCCCCTGTAGTACTGGCGTCACGACAATCATCGCCGTGGCCACCATTATCACCACCCTCCAACACTCCCATCTGTAGTGTCACTGTAACCACCATCACCACCACTGTAGCAGGCCTCTGCTTCCATCTATACCTTTCTACCCCCTCCCTCTCGCCTACCACCACTATCACCACCACTGGTGACCCTACCACCATCACCACTATCCACCCCTTCATGACCACTATATCACAAATGTGTGTGCTTCTAGCTTCCTTCTCTATGAGACCACACTTTTTACCCCCTCTCCCCACCCCCACCACCCTCTTCCACCCCCACCACCACTCCCGCCCTAATATCTACCCCGTCTCTCTCTCCCATACCCCACGTTCTCTGAACTCTTTCTCTTCTCACTCTTACACACACGCCACTCTGGACTTTTCTCACGTCTAATCTGGACGTGAGAAAAGCTGTTGGGCCAGTCGGAATCTCACCATGGGTATTGAAAAAGTGTGCAGAAGCACTCAGCTTGCCACTCTCCATAGTGTATAGTACGTCACTGGAGACAGGAGACCTACCAGAAATATGGAAGATGGTTAATGTGGTCCCAATATACAAAAAGGGTGACAGACAAGAGGCACTGAACTACAGGCCAGTGTTCTTAACTTGTATTCCATGCAAGGTGATGGAGAAGATTGTGAGAAAAAACCTAGTAACACATCTGGAGAGAAGGGACTTTGTGACAAATCGCCAACATGGGTTCAGGGAGAGTAAATCTTGCCTTACAGGCTTAATAGAATTCTACGATCAGGTGACAAAGATTAAGCAAGAAAGAGAAGGATGAGCAGACTGCATTTTCTTGGACTGTCGGAGAGCCTTTGACACAGTACCCCATAAGAGGCTGATGCATAAGCTGAAGAAACAGGCAGGAGTAACTGGTAGGGTGTTCCTGTGAATAAGGGAGTACCTAAGTAATAGGAAGCAGAGAGTTACAGTGAGGGGTGAGACCTCAGATTGGCGTGAAATCACCAGTGGGATCCCACAAGGCTCTGTACTCGGACCTATCCTGTTTTTGATATACGTAAATGATCTCCCAGAGGGTATAGACCCATTCCTCTCAATGTTTGCTGACGACGCCAAAATTATGTGAAGGATTAAGACAGAGGAGGACAGTTTGAGGCTTCAAGAAGACCTGGACAAAGGGAAGGCATGGTCGAACAAATGTTAGAGTTTTACCCAAGCAAATGTAATGTAATGAAGATAGGTGTAGGGAGCAGGAGACCAGATACAAGGTATCATTTGGGAGATGAAATACTTCAAGAGTCAAAGAGAGAGAAAGACCTGGGGTTGACGTCACGCCAGACCTGTCCCCTGAAGCCCACATCAAGAGGATAACATCAGCGGAATATGTCAGGTTGGCCAACATAAGAACGGCCTTTAGAAACTTGTGTACGGAATCATTCAGAACTTTGTATACCTCATAGGTCAGATCAATCCTAGAGTATGCGGCTCCAGCATGGTGTCCATATTAGTCAAGCATAAGACTAAACTGGAGAAGGTTCAAAGGTTTGCCACCAGACTAGTACCTGAACTGAGGAGTATGAGCACAAAGACAAAAAAAAATCAATTAAAAGTAAAAGATAAAAGCTCTTCTCGGCCTTACTAAGGCCCGAGTTGCCTAAGAGGACGAGTGTTTTCTTTATTTAAAAAAAATCCAATTGGTGTGGATTGGGGCAGCAAGGCGGAGGGCCACAGCAATTGCTGCAGCAATTCTCACACCACAGCATGTGGTGAGATGTGTGTCAGTTGCCGACATTGGGGTTTCTAAAAGGAAATCCCCTGCATGTGGGGCTGCTACTGCTGTGAGGCGAGCAGTGTCGTGATGTGTTGTTGCAGCACCCAGGTACTCTGCAGCAACTTGGTCTACAATGGGGCCATCCCAGCTGGATTGCTTGTGGGCTTTTGAGGATGGTGGTTGAGGTGATGGGCCTGCACGAGAGGCCCACTCGGTGGCACAGAGTATAAAATTGGGATCGTGTACGCCTGCCAGCTGATCTAACTAAGAAGGTAGAATATATATTATATGTATATATATGTATTGAACTACTGACTTTATTTAATAACTATATTTAATATTTACGTCATTATTTCGGTGAGTGGATGATGGAGGTGACATTACATAAACACATTAGTGAGGGTTCCCGAGGTAAAGCTGAGTGACTGGTAGCATATATACTCTCTAGTTGTTGGGTGTCAGGTTTGTTCGGTCCGGTTACTCACTGAGCTTACCGGGACGGGGACGCGGCTGGACAGCTCACTACAGAACCTGCTGGAGCTAAAGATGACCCAAGAACTGTACACTTGGCTCCCCTGAGGGTGGAAAATGTTTTTTACTACACTGTCTAAATTCAGAGGACGCTAGAAAATGGCTGTTGATGAAGCTGACTCTTGTTAATCCAAAAGAGGTCGGCTTCCCAAGAGTCAGAAGGAGGTGAAGGGAGTGCTGACATTTTTACTGACATCTCTGATCTTCCTGTGAGTTGGAAGGACAAACAAATCCAAACTGTTCGTTTCTGGCGCACTTCACACTACTCTATTTTTTTTTTATTCTTATTCCTTTTTTTTTGCCACTCTCACGGTCCTCTCTCCTTAACTCTCACTCCCCTCTCTCACTCTTAAGCCTAAGTATGAGCCTCCAGAGCCCTGGTGGCAGAGTGGACAGCACACTGAATACGTAATCCTGTGGTCCGGGGTTCGATTCCCGGCGCCGGTGGAAACAGATGGGCAGAGTTTCTTTCACCCCGATACTCCTGTTACCTAGCAGTAAATAGGTACTTGGGAGTTAGACAGCTGTTACTGGCTGCTTCCTCTGTGTGTGTGTGTGTGTGTGTGTATTCACCTAGTTGTATTTGCGGGGGTTGAGCTTTGCTCTTTCGGCCCGCCTGTCAACTGTCAATCAACTGTTTACTAACTACACTAACTATTTTTTTCCCACCACACAGTACTCATCTAGTTGTGCTTGCGGGGGTTGAGCTCTGGCTCATTGGTCCCGCCCCTCAACCGTCAAACAACAGGTGTACAGGTTCCTGAGCCTATTGGCCTCTATCATATCTACACTTGAAACTGTGTATGGAGTCAGCCTCCACCACATTACTTCCTAATGCATTCCATTTGTCAACCACTCTGACACTATAAAAGTTCTTTCTAATATCTCTGTGGCTCATTTGGGCACTCAGTTTCCACCTGTGTCCCCTATTGCATGTGCCCCTTATGTTAAATAGCCTGTCTTTATCAACCCTGTCGATTCCCTTGAGAATCTTGAATGTGGTGATCATGTCCCCCCTAACTCTTCTGTCTTCCAACGAAGTGAGGTTCAATTCCCGTAGTCTCTCCTCGTAGCTCATACCTCTCAGCTCAGGTACTAGTCTGGTGGCAAACCTTTGAACCATTTCCAGTTTAGTCTTATGCTTGACTAGATATGGACTCCATGCTGGAGCTGCATACTCCAGGATTGGTCTGACATATGTGGTATATAATGCTCTGAAAGATTCCTTACACAAGTTTCTAAAGGCCGTTCTTATGTTAGCCAACCTGGCATATGCTGCTGATGTTGTCCTCTTGATATGAGCTTCAGTGGACAGGTCTGACGTGATATCAACCCCCAGGTCTTTCTCTCTGACTCTTGAAGTATTTCATCTCCCAAGTGATACCTTGTATTTGGTCTCCTGCTTCCTACCCCTATCTTCATTACATTACATTTGCTTGGGTAAAACTCTAACAGCCATTTGTTCGACCATTCCTGCAGCTAGTCCAGGTCTTCTTGAAGCCTCAAGCTGTCCTCCTCTGTCTTAATCCTTCTCAAAATTTTGGCGTCGTCAGCAAACATTGAGAGGAATGAGTCTATACCCTCTGGGAGATCATTTACGTATATCAGAAACAGGATAGGTCCAAGCACAGAGCCCTGTGGGACTCCACTGATGACTTCACGCCATTCTGAGGTCTCACCCCTCACTATAACTCTCTGGTTCCTATGGCTTAGGTACTCCCTTATCCACTGGAGCACCCTACCAGTTACTCCTGCCTGTTTCTCCAGCTTATGCATCAAGCTTTTATGGGGTACTGTGTCAAAGGCTTTCCGACAGTCCAAAAAAATGCAGTCCGCCCATCCTTCTCTTTCTTGCTTAACCTTTGTCACCTGATCGTAGAATTCTATCAAGCCTGTAAGGCAAGATTTATCCCTCCCTGAGCCCATGTTGATGGGTTGTCACAAAGTCTCTTCTCTCCAGATGTGTTACTAGGTTTTTTCTCACAATCTTCTCCATCACCTTGCATGGTATACAAGTTAAGGACACTGGCCTGTAGTTCAGTGCCTCTTGTCTGTCACCCTTTTTAAATATTAGTACAATATTAGCAGTCTTCCATATTTCTGGTAGGTCTCCTGTTTCCAGTGACCTACTATACACTATGGAGAGTGGCAAGCAAAGTGCTCCTGCACACTCTTTCAATACCCATGGTGAGATTCCATCTGACCCAACCGCTTTTCTCACATCCAGCTCCAATAGGTGCTTCTTGACCTCATCTCTTGTAATTTCGAACCTTTCCAAGGTCACCTGGTTTGCTGCCACCTCTCCTAGCGCCGTGACCTCTCCCTGTTCTATTGTAAAGACCTCCTGGAACCTTTTGTTGAGTTCTTCACACACCTCTTTGTCATTCGCTGTGTACCTGTCCTCGCCCACCCTAAGTTTCATCACCTGTTCCTTCACTGTTGTCTTCCTCCTAATGTGACTGTGCAGTAGCTTTGGTTCGGTCTTGGCTTTATTAGCTATATCA